CTCCCTTCCTAGACTCAACCGGGAAGAAATAGAATGCTTGAACAGACCAATATCAAGCACCAAAACTGTAACAAGTATAAAAAAGCTTCCAACAACAACAACAAAAATACTAGACCAGACAGTTTTACACCAGAATTCTACCAAACTTTCATGAAGTGTTTGCACTTATACTGCACAACCCATTCCAAAACGTGAGAAGGATGAAATCCTCCCCAATTTCTTCTACAAAGCAAATATCACCCTAATTCCCAAACCAAAAAAGGACACAACAAAAGAAGAAAACTACATACCAATTTAATTAATAAAGATTAACACAAAAATACTCAATAAAATCTTAGCAAATAGATTCAGCTACACATAGAAAAAACAATTCCTCACAATCAAGTGGGCTTCATCCTTTGGATTCAAGTCTCATTCAACACATACATAGCCATAAATGTAACTCACTACATAAGCAGAAGTAAAACCAAAGACCATCTAATCCTCTCAATAGATGGAGAAAAGGCATTTAACAAAGTTCAGTTTCCTTTTTTTTTTTTTTTTTTGAGACAGAGTCTCACTGTGTCCCCCTTGGTAGAGTGCCAGGGCATCACAGCACCATCTAACTCTTAGGCTTAAGCAATTCTCTTACCTCAGCCTCCCAAGTGGCTGGGACTACAGATGCCCACCACAACACCCTCTATTTTTTTGTTGCAGTTGTCATTGTTTTTAAGCTGGCCCAGGCAGGTTTTGAACCCGCCAGCCATGGTGTATGTGGCTGGAGCTGTAACAACTGTGCTACAAGCACCAAGCATCAGCATCATTTTGTTGGTAAGAACACTTAAGAAAATAGGCACAGATGGGATGGGACATTTCTTAAACTTATAGAAGCTATGTAAAACAAACCTACAGCCCATATTATATTGAATGGAAAAAAACTGAAAGCATTTCCGCATAGAACTAAAATCAAACAAGGATGTCCACTATCACTGTTATTATTCAGGATATTGCTGAAAGTCCTAACCAATATATATAATCAGTCAGGAGAAGAATATCAAGGTATCCAAGTGGGGACAGAGGAGGTCAAACTATCACTCTTTGCTGATGATATAATCTTAAAACTAGAAAATTCAAGGACTCAACCATGAGACTCCTGGAAGTCATCAAGAAATGCAGCAGTATCTCAGAATATAAACTAAATGTTCACAAATTAGTAGTCTTCATATATTCCAGTAGCAGACAAACTGGAAACAAAATCAAAGATATAATACCCTTCACCATAGTATCAAAGAAAATGAAATACCTTGGAATGTACTTAAAGAATGTGAAAGATCTCTGCAGAGAGAACTATGAAACACTGAGAAAATAAATAGCAGAGATTATTAAGAGATGGAAGAACATACCACAATCGTAGTTGTGAAGAATCAACAAATAAAACAATGCTCAATGTCTCTAATTATCAGAGATATGCAAATAAAAACCACTTTGAGATATCTCCTAACCCTAGTGAAAATGGCCCCCACAGCACAAGGTCTCAAAGTAACAGATACAGGCATAGGTGCAGAGAGAAGGAAACACTTGTGCAGTGTTGGGGGGGACTGCAAATTAGTACTGCCTTTTTGGAAAGAAATATTGAGATTCCTCAAAGAACTAAAAATAGATCTACCATTTGATCCCATTACTAGGTACATATTCAAGAGAAAAAGAGTCATTTTACCATAAGGACATTTGTACTCAAATGTTTATAGCAGCTCAATCCACAACTGCAAAGATGTGAAAAAAACCCAAATGCCATTCGGCACATGAATGGATTAATAAACAGAGGTATATTTACAACATGAAATGCTATTCAGCCATAAAAAAGATGGAGACTTTTTATCTTTTCTTTCTTTTTTTTTTTTTTTGGACAGGGCTGAGTTTGAACCCGCCACCTCTGGCATATGGGGCTGGCGCCTTACTCCTTTGAGTCACAGGTGCTGTCTGACTTTGTATCTTTTATAACACCCTGGATAGATTTACAGAACACGCTCCTAAGTAAAGTATCACAGAAGTGGAAAAACAAACATCACATATACTCAATATTAAGTCAAAATTTGGTAGATTAATAACTATGTGCTCACTTAAGAGAAAAATTCAATCAAATTGAAGGAGGAAGGAGGGGGAGAGTAGGCATTGTTACCCAAAGGGAACAATGCACACACAGGTGTATGACACCCTTCCTGGGCAAAGGAAACAACAACAACTTGAACTGTATCTTACAAATACAAAGAATGTAACCTAATCACATGTATATTCACATTAACCTGAAATTTTAAAAAATTTAAGAGTAGACACAAGGGGGGTATCTTGGTCCTTCTATTTGAAAACCCTTAATTCAACATTATCCACACATGGAATTTCTTAGATCACTAACAATCTTGGACACATGATTATTCCTAGAGCTAACTGTGTTCTTTTGAGGGTAGCATGCATAGTGGCCTTTTCTTTTTTTTGAAGACCTCTTACATTATCATTCATTCAAGATAAATTAAGACATTTACTTATTGAAACAGTGAAAATATTAAGCTCTCCAGATGTATTTTGTATCTTCCTAAAGGGAAAAAAAAACACAACTGACTAGAGATAAAAATGTACATATTATTAAAAGGTAAATTGAGAAAAAGTAAAATTTAAAGAGTTTATTTGAGCTAACAGTGATGCAGGAATTGAGCAGCTTTACATGGAAAGTTATTTGAGAGCTCTTCCAAGGGTTTGAAAGAGGAGGGCTTCTATAGGGTGAACAGAGAAGTAAAGCAAAAAAAAAAAAAAATATATATATATATGTATATATATAATACATATATTTTTTACATATATATGTAATATAGATATACATATTTTATATATATATATACACATATATATATATATATACACACACACACATACATACACACAGAGGGTGCCAAAAAATTTATACACATATTTTCAGAAAGAAAAAGATATCTTAAAATTATAATACTCAATATATGCTGATAATGTTTATTATCTTGTATATTGTATCTTGTATCTCTTATAATTGCAGAAGTCAAATGTGACTTGAGTATTACAATTTTCATACAATATTTTTTCCTTTTCTAAAATGTGTATACATTTTTTGGTACCCTTTGCATATATATTTGATCAGTTACTTATAGAATTTCTTTACTTGGTCTATCCTGCTGGAAAGTCCCTAGTTATATTAGTTAGTGGCTCCTGATTTCTTAGCCTTAGTTTTACTTTTCCTTAATATAAGCATTTACTAGAAATAGCCCCAGTTAAATTTTGCTTGGGTTTGCAAATCAAGCAAGGTTAACATCACTCACATGTATGAGGCCTCACTGGTTTTGTCTGCTCAGGGATTCTTCAGGCCATTTTAATTTACTCTAATGCTATAAATATACTCTATGTGGCAAAGGACAGCTCAGTGAAGTCTTTGAATATGTGTGGTTATATATTTGGAAATGTGCATATTCCATGTGAAATAACCACAAATACTGATAAGGCAGAATGCAATATATCGGATTGCATGTAAAAAGACTTTCTATTAGATCTGTATTTCTGTTTATAGACATAAATATACAATTTAATTACTATAAGAAAGAAGGAATATATTTAGTTTTCTAGTATGAATTATACATGATGGAATTACTTGAGTGACACTTCAGGTATTTATCAAGCGTATAGTAAAAAGTGGCTGTCTGCCTCTATACTCATCATGGAATTCCCTACTTAATTCAAACTTTTCTTACTTCAAAAATGAGTTTTCTGATCACATATATGGGGATTTGGAATGACAACAGAACACTTTAAAGTACAAGTGTCATGTGATATGTTTCCTCTAGTGATTATTTCTCTTAACTGTGAGTTCCAGGTGTGAGCCTAATCTTTGGACTCACATAATATCTCACAGAAGTATTTGAAGGGTTGATACCAGGTTTTGTTATTGTTTGGGGTGTTTTTTTAAATAAAAAGCCAAATTTCCTTTCTAATAAAAAAATACAATTTTTTCCATTTTTTTTTTTTTTTTGGCTGTATATATTGTCTTAGTGTGAGCAGCTATAACAAAATACCATGGACTGAGTGGCTTAAAGAACAAACATTTATTTCCAATAATTTTGGAGGCTGGCAAGTCCAAGATCAAGGTACTATTAGACTGGGATGTCTGGTGAGGGCCAGCTTCCTGGACATGGTCTTGTCATTGTAACCTCACATGGCAGGAGCAGCAAGGGAGTTCTGTTGGGCTTCTTTTATAAGGGCACTAATTCCATTAATGGGGGCTCCCTCCAAAGCCTCCTGATACTTTAACCTTCTAGGATTTTAACATGAATTTGGAGGGAACACACAACATTCAGTACTTCACACAATGTGACACCAATTACACTATGGACTCATTTCATATGCTTGTCTCCTATTAATTAACATTTGTTTATTATTACTGATGTTTGTAAAGGTCTTCATAGTCAGTTTTATATATACTGTTACTTCCTTAACATTTAAAAAATATGTATTTATCTATCAATAAGCTAACCTGTGTAATAATATTTCACTAGTATGAGGCAATATGACTTAAATATAAATATAAGTAATATTTTATGTAAGCCAATGACTTTGGACAATATGACTTGTTTTGTTTTTACCAGCTAACTGCTAGAAGTCTAAATTTATTTATCTCTTATAGATATTTGATTATGATATTTGATGTTTGTGAGGTTCTACTTGTTTCTTATTTACTATGCACAGCTAACATTGATTTTCATTATTGTTAAGTGGAAATACGAAGTTATTTTAAAAGCAAGCAAATTTTCTGCAGATGCTTATTTTTTCTTGGAAAGAACGATGAATCAAATGTTTTATGTTCTTTACAAATTCAAAGGTATTTATTTCATAGAAAGATACAAATCATTTTCTTAGCATTAACTTGGTTTACTAGAGACTCAAGATGCAAGGCAATAGAGATAAAAATCGTTCCACTGCCAAGTTGTTCAGTTGCCATCACTTACCTCCAAAATAATAGGTGTCACCTGAATCAATCAGCATAGTCACCAGGGGCTGAACAGCTGTGTCATCATCCACTGCCACACTCAGATGACTCCATTTAGCAAATAAGGACACAGAATGCCACTGCCCATCATTTAAGCCAGCACCTAGAGGGAAAAGAATCAAAGACAACTCGAAATTACCAACTTTGTAAACACTTGAAAATAATTCAATTCGGATCACTGAATAAGTCAGAGAGAATGGTATTTACATGCTGTTTTGTCACTGAGAAAAATATTAACCACCTTTCCTTAATGAAAAGATTTCATTTATTAGGACAGTAACACATGAAGGAAGATAATACTTTTTCAAAAGAGTCATTGTAACAAATTTTGATGATGTGCTTAAATTAGCACCTCAAATTTAATCACCAAATATATATGTTCAAAGTCTTTGCCAGTGTGATTTAAAAAAAAAACACAGTTTAATCCAATCTTCAAGTGAAAATTTACTTGCTTCACTGAAAATAGCAAAAATACTTTAAAAGAATCAAGGAAATGAGTTGATAAAATTGTGTCAAGAATAACTGTGATACAACATGATTTGCAATGGAAGGAAAGATCACTGCATGTCCTATCTAGTGCCCCCATTCAGGCAAACTCTGCTTTCACTATCTGAGCTATTTTACAACTCTGTAAATTGTAGAGAACTGACAGTAATACAAAACGATTTTTGTAGATAGAAATGCAAATTACTTGTGCCTTCTGGGGTGCAGGTGGTTATCGAGCCATTTCATATCTGTCTGTAAATTCATTTTAGTGTTCCTTATCTGCCAGTACATGTGGTAATTTGAATTTCCTTTGAGCTTATTGTAACATCCTAGTGGTTTCGTCATTAATTAACGAGTTAAAATTGTTGATATATGTTCATATGCTCCCTGATTGAGCACACTATGATTATATAATTATACCTTTTAAAGAAATTGTTACTTATGAATAAGAAAATGCTTAGGAAAAGACTGGAGGTGTACTTTACATGTATGCACACCATTGTTTGTATATTTACATTCACAGCCACATTATTCTATGATTCCTAGTATTAACTATGAAGTTAATCTTGTGAAATAATTTGATAACCTAATGAATTGCCTTTGATGGTGAACTTAAAGTATTTAAAATCACTGGAGGTATTCTGTGTTTTCTTTCACTTGGTAATATGTCAAGGATAAATGCCAATGAATGGATTAAAAATGAGATCATCTTCATATTAAATTAACATTGCATTTATGTTTAAAATTAGCCCCACATCAAAACTACCTTAGGAGTCGTAGATATCATAATAAACATTAGATTAACAGAAGTTTTTCAATAAAGTTAACATTTTAGTTGATGTTTTTAGAAAGCCTATTAATTATTAAAAATGACCCTGTGCTTGATTTCCTTTCCAAACATACATTTATCTGAATGAAGTTAATATATTATGAGCATTTCAAATATAGTACTTCTTAAAAATTAATATTAATATTTCACCATTTCCTTTTAACCTTCAGTGATAGATGGAACAAAACAGAAGTAATAGTAATGTGTTGAGGAAAAATTGTACTTTAAAATCAACTAAGATTCCTGGGTATCTCCAGTGTAAAACTAGTCATTGTGTAAACACAAAATCTCCAGGATTAATCTGATTGTACAGGTGTCTGTGCCTTTTGCCTTCTTTGAGTTCTTTTCACACTCTGGAAATTATAGAAAATTGAAATCAAGAAAAGGATTTTTGTCCACAGACATGCAAATGAATTTTGTGTGGTAAGAATATAATTGGCCCTTCTCTCTGTTCCTTCATCCCATCCATGGAAGATGCCAGTTTTATATTATATGCAAATTCATTGTAGCCTACTGGTTACATATCCAGGATTCTTTGAATTCTCTTATGAACTTGTGGCATCTTACTGATTTCTTCCTAACTAATGAATTAAGTGAAGTCTTTGACATGTTGTTTTCATAATTGTATAAATCCCTAATATCCTTTTTATAAATATCTTTTGACAAATAAAAGCAGATTTTTGGATGCTATTTTTTCATGTTTATCATCCAAATATTTTTTCTTTTTTTTTTCTTCTGTCAGGTTGAATTTGGTCATTGGCCGTAGTTTATTCCCAAGAAAATGAGTACAGTGGCATCTATAAAATTTTCATGAAAAATTATTAAGTTAATTAATTCCCCACAACATAAATATTATTTGAAGTATGTTCAAAAATGAAGACAACCTCTTGTCAAAAACTACAACATTTTAAATGCAGAGGCAAAATAACCACTCTCAGGAAGCCATGAGCTGAAACGAAATCCTGATATGATTTAAGGACTTTAATGAATTATTATGAAACCCAGAACTGGAAAAAATGCTTGCTCTGCATTTCACTGTACCTCAAATATATGCAATTTATTAGCAATAAAGTTGAACCAACTAATGTAGGAAGAAATTGAGGGCAGTTTTTGAACTGGGCAAAAGACATTACTGGATATCGTTTCAATGGAAGGATTAGCTCATCTTACAAGGATGTCTGACCTTTATTTCTTTCTCTCTCTCTATTTTCTATTCTCATGGGGGAACAAAAGTTGTCTTGGGCCACACATTAAACACACAAACACTAATGAAAGCTGATTAGTAAAAATAAATAAATAAATACAAGGAGTGGGTATACTTTTTGTGATATCTGACACCACAGAAAAGCAAAATAAGTCCTCACAAAATCAGCATGCAGTCCATGGGCTGTCCAGGCAGGCTGCATGGTGGACCCCCCAGCGTAAACCTTCATCTTTGAGTAGGTTACTTCACAGTTGTGTAGTGATAGAAGTTAACTTGCAAGAAATTGATAGTAATGCCAACAATCTTGTTCGTAGAGATATAAACTCTGTTTGGGAAAGGGATTTATTTACTTTTCCCTGTGGATATTGACAATGTTTGTACTTATTTCTAATTTCATTTCACATTCCTTTACTAACTATAAATGTGTGGCATTGGGAACTCTTTAAATTGACTTTACTGATGTAAGGGCAAGCATAAATCTGAAAAAAAAAAAAAATCAATCCAACAAAAATCTTCCTTGGTGTCAAAAGGCATAAAGACTTTCACTTACTGTCCCTTTTCCTAGAGCAGTGGTTGTCAAGCTTCCTAATGCCATGAACCTTTAATACAGTCCAAAGGGGTCTCCACCCACAGGGTAAGAACCGCTGTTTTAGAAAAATACGTTAACTATAATTTTTTTCTCTGTCTTTTTGAAGCATACATAAATCTTTTTTAAAAACTTAGTTTTAACATAAGTTTTTACAAAGGATTTTTTAAAACTTTTAACCTCTTTCTAGTTTTACAACCTCAAAATGTTTTTCTTGAGGACCTTGGAGACATTGCTTTGAAATGTAAACATCAAGAAAGATAGCACCCCTAGCTCCCTGTCTCTTTGGGAGTTTAACTTAGGTTAAAGAGATATAAGGAGTTTTCGTTTTCTTTGGGTTAAGGCAATGCTCTAATACAGATGGTCTCCTCAATCACCAGGTGAATTTAGGATGGGCTATGGGTAGCAAACAGTACTGTCACCTCCCCTTACTGGAGGACAATTTATCCATTATTTTGAAAACATGTGTGTAATGGGTTGTATCTGCCTGGCTATACACAAAGATGAAATTTCTTTCTTCGTGATCATTTTAAGTGGCTGCCTGAAATGTGCAGTACAGTCTGGTTTATTCCTCATTCAATAATAAAACTATTTAATTCTTTTTTATCTTGTGAAAAGGATTCACTAGGTTGATAAGCAATTTAATCTTTAATTATTTCCTCAATACTGGCTCCCTTGTTAAGTAATGAGTAAAATAAAATCTTTGACATATGTTAATTTTGTATATGTGTGCTGGTCCTGACTTTACAGTTTGGCGGGGTGTGTGGGCAGGGAGGCACTATTTTTGAGGAAATGGAAAATAGGTTTGCATTTTTAAAAGATAAAAAAATGTTCATCTCCAAATATCTATTTTATCTCCTACAGTTTACCTTGGATCAGAGACGGACACAGATTCTAACACCTGAAGCTTGCCGGAAGTACTGAGATAAGGTCCCACCCTCTGAATTCCTTTTTCACAGGTCTGGAAATTCTGCTTTCATACAGCACATTTAACAGAGGTCTAAGTTAAGAGTGTATCTAAGTAGCCAAAGGAATCTCTCTTTGAGTAGGATAATCCCCTCATTTTAAGGGAGCGGCCCAGCTCCTTTCTTGTGCTTTCTTTCTTAAACCCTCCATCTTTTAAAAAAGCCCTCATTTGGTTCTGATGCCAAGTTTGACATGATATCAATGGAGGACTCAGATCTCCTCCTAAATTTGCAAATCCAATCAGCAAAATTCAACAATTCTGTATTATCAAACTTGTCCACACCATATAGCACAACAGAAGCAGATTAGTTGCCATCTATTGTTAGTGGGTCCTGCCTCCTGGGATTTCAGCCCCTAACCTGGCAGACGTATCAAAGCATTTTCCCAACAGGCCCTAGATGAGGAGTGGGGACCAGAGCGGGCCTGTGTGGGGGTGGCCATTGTGCTAATAAATCAGCTTTCCTTCCTTATTGTTCCCTGCAAAGATCTAAGATTTACCATTTCACAAGTGAAAATAGGCTGGTTTAGGAGGTTCAATCATTTGCATATTAGGAGGGCAGCAAGTGGAGGGACTGAGATTCCACCCTGGTGTCAGTCTGTTTCAGAAAACTAATCAGCCATCTGTAAAAGAATTCATGGCATTTGCTGGCATCTTTCACTATGAGGTGATAGGGAATATTTCTTTGCAGAATAGAAAGGGGGAGCAGGAGAGAAGAAAAGTGAATGCATCTGGATGTTGCTCACTCTGTGAAGTCTTGACTGTTTGGGAAGTCTTGAGCTCTTTGGGATGGATGATGAGTGTATGTTTGTCAGCAAACTGAACTTAAGTGGATTACATATTTTCCTTGCATTACAGGGAGTTATGTTTGCAGAAGTGCTCATATGTAGTCATTTTGGTCAAAAGAACACTTGAGGGACGGCTGTGTGTCCCACATAAGAACACAGTCTGAGAGGAAATGGAAATCCCCTTCCTCCAGGTGGGGCATCCAGTATCTCATTACCTCAATTACTAACTTAATGCAGAATGAGTCATCTGCTGGATGTCTGTTCAGTTTAGGAAGCATCTCTGTTACCTGCTGTGATGTTCCTCCATGGCTGTCCCTTCTGGAAGAGACTCAGTCTGAGTTTTCCATCCTTAAGAAAGAGAAGAAAACTCTCTGCACCACGTCGAAGTTCACCAAAAAGCAAACATCCTGCTCTGTTCCATGTTCTAAATTGAAAAGTGACAAACACTTTGTTGTCTCCAGAGTTGCCTGGCAGGGCCAGGTAACTTGTGGAACTCAGAAAAGTCACAGGGACAGTCTGTGCCTTTGGACATGAGAAGGACATATTTCCCTGTAAAGGAAACAAAAGAACGCGTTGAGAGGACTCAGAGTGGTGCTTCTATCTAATTAAAGGTAGATTCTGCAAAGATTTACAAAGGCTTTTTATCAGTCTGAAATTTTATAAATTAGCCTGCCTGCTAAAGCTTAAATCTATGGCATTTATCTTATCTTCCAAAGTATTATCATAATTGGACAAAGCTATCCCTGGGGGAGGGGGTTGTGTGTGTGTGTGTGTAAAATTCTTCACTTTTCTATTTCTCAGTATTACCAAAGGAATATCGATAAAAGTTAATTCAATAGGTGTTTATTTATGCCATTACCTTCCAGGCCCTATGCTAGGCCTAAACAGGACATGTCCACATTCCTGGACTCTCCTCCTGAGCAACATTTGGTCTTGCCTAAACTACAGTCCTCAAAATCTACTGTGTAGCAGCTTTGCTATTCTACTAGTTTGCTCATTAGTTAATAAGTTGATTAAATCTTTGATGCATGTTTGATATTTGTGTGAGTCATTTTTTATCTTTTGGAAAATTATACTTTTACAGCATTTCAAATGTTTTTCAGATCTAACAGTTTGCTTATAGTATTTTAGCATGGGAATATTAGTTTTATATAATTAATACATCTATTTTTTCTCTAACAGCTACTGACTTTTCAATCTTTGTCAGGAAAGTTTCACAACTCCCTAGGTCCTATAAATGGTCTCATAGATTTTCTTCCAAGATTTGTTGTTGTTTATTTCTGATCCTCCTGAATTTGCACATTTCATCATATGTAAAATAGTGATCCATTTTTCTTTTCTGCCTATGAACACTTATTTGCTCCAGCAGAATTTAGGAAATAATCCATCCCCTTTACACTGAATTGAACCATACACCTTGCATATAACTTTGCATGTATAATGGGACCTTTCTGGGATGTATACTTTGCCCTACTGACTATTGTATTCCTATCTAATACCATATTGATTCTAGCACAGTGGCTTCTTTTTTTTTAAAGATAGGTCTCCCTGCATTGCCAGAGATAAAGAACAATAGCATCATCATAGCTCACTGCAACCTCAAACCCCTGGGCTTGCATAATCCTCCTGCCTCAGCCTTCTAAGGAGCTGGGACTACAGGCATGTGCACTACCACAATTGGCTAATTTTTCTATTTTTTGCAGAGATAGTGTCTCTCTCTTGTTCATACTGGTTTAGAACTCTTGGCCTGAGTGATCCTCCCACCTTGCCTAGCAGAGTGCTAGGATGACAGATGTAAGCCACCTCGCCTGATCATATATTTGTTTTTGTTTTTATTTTAGCTGGTGGAAGGAAGGGGTAATTCTTGGGTATTTATTCACACATATGAATTTCAGTTCCAGAGAAAATACCCAGAAATTCAGATTCAAATCGGAATTTCCATTGATTATTTCTATTAATCAGCTATAAATGATCTTAGAGAAAAAAATGTTACTGAAGCAAGACAGATAATCTAGGGTAGTGGTTCTTGAGCCTTGCTAAGCAGTTGTCACTAAGAGAGTTATTAAAACCCACAACCAGGCCAATTAAATTCCAATCTCTGAAGGTGGATGCAGGTAACAAAATATTTTAAGTTTCCTCTGATGATTCCAAGATAAAGCCAAGTTTAAAAATCATTCATCCTGGGTGGTGCTGTGGCTCAAAGGAGTAGGGAGCTGGCCTCATATGCTGGAGGTGGTGGGTTCAAACCCAGTCCCAGCCAAAAACTGCAAAAAAAAAAAAAAAACATTCATCCAGGGGTAAAATCCTCTTTTAAGACTGACTAACATCTTGGTCACACTTCTAATCCTAGCACTCTGGGAGGCCAAGGCAGGTGGATTTCCTGAGCTCACAGGTCCAAGACCAGCCTGAGCAAGAGCGAGACCTCATCTCTAAACATAGCCAGGCATTATGGCTGGCGTTTGTAGTTCCAGCTACTCAGAAGGAAGAGAATCACTTGAGCCCTGGAGTTTGAGGTTGCTATGAGCTACAATGCCATAGTACTCTTCCAAGGCTGAAAAAATGAGACCCTTGTCTCAAAAAAAAAAAAAAGACTGACTTACATCTTTAAAAAATTCTCACCTAACACACTTTAGAAACTGATATAATTCAGTTTTCATTTTAAAATATCTTGGCAAAGCACAGTGGCATGCAGCTGTAATCTCAGCATTTCGGGAGGCTGAGTTGGGAGGATCATTTGAGGACAGGAGTTTGAGACCATCCTGAACAACATAGTGAGGCCACCTCTCTACAAAAAAAAAAAAAAAAAAAAAAAAAAAAAAAATTAGCTGGGCCTGATGGCAGATGCCTATAGTCCTAGCTTCTTAGGAGGCTGAGGCCGAAGATTGGCTTGATCCAGGAACTTGAAGTTACAATGACCTATGATCACGTCACTGTATTCCAACCAAGGTGACAGAGACAGACTCTGTCTCTACAAAATCAAATAGGTATGAAATAAAAAAAATTCGTAATACATATTATAACTATATATATATGTGTGTGTGTATATATATATGTATATATATATATAACTATATACATAAAAACATTTACTCTTGGTTGTTTTTTAAATTCTGCTGAATGTGAAATACTTCTTAGTGTAAGAGAATATTTGCTGTAATGAATTAATTATCAAAAGCTTAAGATTCATCTGATCCATCATATAAATTTAATCATTGAACTATAACATGTTTTGATGACAGTTTTTTATCAGCTGCCGATTGCTTGCCCTCATCACACATGAGTAGCTGACCACTACAACAACCAAAAAGCAAGGCTTCTTGCTACAGATGAATGATTATTAGTTCAATGAACCAATTCTGGAAACTGATTTTGCCAAGAAAATATATTTTAAATGTTTTCCTTTTAAATATTGAAGGAACTATTTTCCTATTTTTATAAAGAGCACATAAAAATGCAATAACTCTCAGAAAGAAGTTCTCATATCCAACACTCTGTACCCATATGCATAACTTAGAATGAATCCTCCTTTTGTTTGTTTTTATCTATGCTTACACATTTTGATATCCTTATACAATGTAATTAGTAAATCATTTTCTTGAGGATGACATTCAGAACTCAGAGGTATCAGGATAATTGTGGTTTTCCTGGTTGGCTGTAATCAGTGAATTGTCCTTAATCTAAGCTTAGTAGAGTTTAGATTAGTAAATCCACTGATCAACCAGAATAGCACGAAATGTGTATAAAAACCTGTGCTTGTTCTCCTCAAATCCTCTTGGCTCCCTGTATCATAAGGCCCAACTCACTCCCACCTGCCTGTAGGACAGCACCTTAAGTATTAATAATAACCCTACAGAAGTTAGGGTGGGAAGGAGGGATTCTTCCGTGAACCAAGGATTGGCAGATAATAGGTGGCTTCATGTTCATAATATGTTACGTCAGGCATCTTAACATGGATTCCCATTGGCCCAACAAATCTTTGTACTTTTATCTGAGCAAAGCACCTTTCACAAAGCCAACTTCACAGACAAGGTCTCCTTTCTCTTGCCTGTTCAGGCAACACTTAATATTTCAATCTCTCCATGGACAAGAGCTTGAGGCAGAGGGCTATTCCACTTATCTCTTTCCTCTTTTCATTTCTTTTTAATCTTGTCAAGGGAACTGGAGCACTGTGGAGCCTTCATATCCTTCTTCCCTTTGGTGTTTCTCTTTTCATGTGTCTTGATGGTATTTTTCATTTGTATGATCTCAGCATGGTGCCGTTCTTAGTAGAGCTTAGATTTCAGACCTATCTTTTAAAATGTTTTCCTTAACCTTCATGGTAGGCTCATGGGCTTCGTGGCTGTTTTATCCCTTTCTCTCATGTTAATCCTAATCGTGCATTAATTTTGTGGCATAGCGACACAGAGCCAAAGAAATTTTCACATTTTGGTCCTACAACCCATGAGCCAACTTTTCCCAGAGCATAAAAGGAAAAAAAACATTTTGAAAAACAATGCAAATAAATATTCCCATGATGTGCTTCTAAAATTTGCTGACAATTAAGCATGAGTTTCCCTTTTAACTCAAAACTTAAGATAGTTTCAATTTTATTTTATTTTATTTTTAGTTTCAATTTTAAACATAGAAAGAATTTTATTAACTGAATGAAAGCATTCCTAATTGATTGAGGAATAGCTCATTAGGGATTTATATTGCAAAATAATTGGTCTTCTGAGAATAACAATACCAAAAACACAGGAGACATATGAATTCTTCTATACAAAAATAGAAAGTTGTTTTACTTCATATAAAACAACCGAGACATATTTACTCTGAGTCATATTTACTTTATAAGGTTTTTATGCATAATAAAAATTATTGTATTACATAGGTAGCTGTTATAAAACTAAGAGTTGTTTTTAAAAATATTATACCAAATGGAGACCTAATACAAATGTTTTTTAAATGCAAAAACAGCAATGACTTTTTTCTTTTTCTCCATTAGGGTTCCTTACCGTAATGAGGATCTGTGGTTTATGTTTCTTGGCTAATTCAATAATATCCACTCCATTATAATAAAGATTTTCTAAACACCCATGAAAGTTTTTTCGTGATCTTCCAGGTGTCGGAATGCCCCCAAAGCTGATCTTAGAAAGAAAAATGACATAAACAACATTGTTTAGTGATTATCTATTTAAAAGATTTATGATTAGTAAGTATACCACTAATTGTCACAAATTCATATGTATTTTCTCATATTTCTTTTGAAATACTCAGCTCTGCTGTGTAGAATCAATGCAGCCACAGACTATATATATATGTATATATATGTTAATATATTTGTGTATATTTATACATAACATACATACATATTATATATCATATATATAATATCTATGTATATATATGAAATGAATATATATAATTTTTTTAAAGAAATTGGCCAGATTTGGCATGGTGCCCATGATTTGCCAGTCTCTGCAATGGGTACTTTCTTTTGTTATCACATTGTTAAATTAAGGGAATAAAGCTACGGCTAATCTGGCACAGGGTCTTTAGTTAATATTATATGCCAAAGCCATTCAACCAGTTAAATATCCGAGCTTTCCTGGTTTGTTCTGATTTTTCATGAACTTTAAGGTTTCCTATGAAGAAGTGGCGACTAGATTAGGTAATGGTGTAGTTTAGATACACATGGGCAACAGATTGCAAAAAAGTGTTGTCTTTGAAAAATATTAAGACATTGTTTATAGTAACCTAACAAACCTATTACTATATATTAGCACAGTTCTGAATTGCTATGATATTATATTTCTGTAAAGAATTAATTTCTTTTTCAGGTTACTTTTCATTTAAATTATCAAACCTATAATAACCTCAAAATTAAGATCCGAGTAACTGGCTTCTCCCTGAGTATGGAAATGTTGAGTGTGCTTGTCCACCGTGAAGTTGACCTCTGTTTTGAGGAGCTCGATGAGAACAAAATGCCAATGCTGGTCATCCAGCAGGCTGCCCAGGGTGAGGTTCATGTGAGCATTAGTGGAGGGCATATTGGCATTGCCTTAAAAGAGAAGGAAAAAAACACTCAGTTATTTCTTTTCAAAATCACAGCTTGTCATGGTTAATTCTGTATTATAGTTTACACCAATCTTTCATCTCATTCAGTTGTCACCTAACTTCCTCTCCACTTTCGATACCATATATTTATACCTTTTTCAATTCTTTTTATTCATTTCTACACTTTGTTGCAATTTCCTTTTTACTAATGTCTTTTTGCTTACTCACAGCATTTGTATTTATGTTGCAAATATTTTCTTTGTTAGAACCTCATTATCAGCAGTATCTCATGATTTGATAATGATCTATTCTCATTATCATTCTCATATTCTCATCTTTATATGTAATCATAACATATAAATTGTAATATTATACATATGTATATGGTGGCCATCTTGCAGTGTCAAAAGAAATGCTGTCTACATAAATCATACTTGGAATATATACATGTTACATACATCTGTTTGCAATGATGTTAAACATCATTTACATTTTCCTACAGCAGTTCTGCTTTATACTCATTGTCCTAGAGTAACTCATAGTAGTGTATCTTTTAACTCCTAAAAAGTGTTCTAGTTTAGATGATAAATTATATGGTTATTTTATCTCACTATGAAAAGATCAATCATTGATGAATGTGCTTTTAGCACAGATTTTTTAAACCACTGGTATAAAAGTGCAAACAATTTTTACCTGAATTAAGAAAAAAGACAAGCTTTCCTTTAATTAATTCCAGAATAATGCGATTTCCATGTTGTCCTTCTCTGTAGAGTAGAATTCCACTGCTTTGCATGGTTTTAAATTTCAAAGAAATAATGTCTCTTACTGGTTTTATGGATTTTTTATCAAATCTGTACAACAGAACACTTTGTCCATCAAAATAAACCACCTCAGATCCTAGAAAAGAGGATAGTAAAGACCAATTCTAAATTTAAATGGCCATGTATTAGCACATTGAAAATGTACGGTCAATACACATATCACACACACACAAACAGAAATATACATTCCATTTCTAGTCTGTTCAGCAAAGTGGAAAACTGATAATATTTTCTGTTGGCATCATAAATTTATATAACTAATACCTACTGTTAGACTTTTCTAACATTTTCCTAAACTTCATCATCTAGAAAGACTCTGATTTATCTTCTTCAACGGCTCCTATCTTTAGAATGGCCTAACTCTTCTCATTCTGTGTGATTTAAAAACAATCAGGAAAGATGTTGTGTTTCTAGTACATGAATTCTTTCTTTTTCTTTCTTTATTTTTTTAAGAGACAGGGACTTGCTGTTTTGTCCAGGGTGGCTACGAACTCCTAGACTCAAGCAATCCTCTCACCTCAGCCTCCTGAATAGCTGGAACTATAGGTGTGTAGCTGGATCATTCTTACGTTAAATGCCAATCTTGCTTAATTTAAATACCTTATTCATTCCCAGTAGCTTTGACGTCTCTTAAAGTTACATATACATGCACTTTATTAAAGATTTTATCTGTTTGTAAAAGATACACACACACCATATTTATTAAATACTACCTTATCCATGTAGTAAAGGTTCTGCATTTTAAATATGTTAATATGTAATATTCTTCTTAACTTTTGGTTAATTTTACCATTAACAGATAGCATTGTGATGTTTCAGCTTGGCTAGTCAATCACATCCAGTTTTTGGTTAAACCTCAATCTAGATATTATTATGCAAGTACTTTTGAGATGTGATTAACATTATAATCAATAGACTTTGATTAAAAGGGATTAACCTCCTTCATGTGAGTGAGCCTCATCCAATCAGTTGAAGGCCATAAGAGAAATTACAAACCTTGAGGTTCTCTAAGGAAGAAGAAATTCTGCCTCCAGACTGACTTTGAACTCAAGCTGCAAGATCAGCTCTTCCCTAGGTCTCAGGGAATCTGCTGCCTGCCTGAAGATTTCAGAATTGCTGCCTCTACAATCTGGTAAGCCAGTTATTGAAAATAACTCTCTCTCTCTCTGTTTCTGCTTCTCTGAAGAAACATACCCTATTGGTTCTGTTCTTCTGGAGAACCCTAACTTAAACAGGCACATATTTTTTTTTTTGTTGATGCTGGGGTTAGATGATAACTCAATGTGATTTGGTTTGCTTTTCCCTGATGATTAGAGATGATGAGCATTTTTTCGTGTGTTTTTGGCCATCAGTCTATCTTCATTAGAAAGGTTTCTGTTCTCATCTCTTGCCCAACTTTTAATGGGGTTATTTGATCCTTTCTTGTTGATTTGCTAATGTTCTTTGTAGATTCTGGTCATCGGCCCTTTTTCAGATGTGTGATCTTGATCACAGTATTTTGAACCTTCCTTCTGTGGCCATCAGAACCACAACACTGCCATGTTCTCTCAGCTTTCTGACAGGGTCCTACAATTTCACTATAGATGTCATAAAAATTCAGGTCATCACAAAACAAGTTGTATTTTATTAATAATATAACAGAACATTTCTCAAAATCAAGTGTAGATCAAATATAGATATATAAATGAATTGATATTACAAGAAAATTTTCTCATCTTTTTCAAAAATAAGAAAGGAGAAAAAGAAGCAATTGTCCTTTGAAAAATATACTCCTATAATAAGTGAAGATGCATAAAAAAATTATAAAGCTATTTGAAGCTGACTAGCCAATTCTCTCAAGCCAATGAGATGGCATTATTTATCATTTTTAATTTCAAAAAATATTACTGTACTTTTTTACATGGACATACATTTCACTTACATTATCCAAAATTTACACCTGTAAACCATGCCTAAAAAATTGCCTATTTTGGCTCGGCGCCTATAGCTCAGTGAGTAGGCTAGCAAGTTCAAACCCAGCCCAACAATGACAACTGCAACCAAAAAAATAGCCAGGCGTTGTGGAGGGCACCTGTAGTCCCAGCTACTCAGGAGGATGAGGCAAGAGAGTCTCTTAAGCCCAAGAGTTTGAGGTTGCTGTGAGCTGTGATGCCATAGCACTCTATTGAGGGCGACATACTGAGACTCTGTCTCAAAAAAAAAAAAAAATTGCCTATTTTATGCATCTGTCATTTAAAATTCTTATTTTTTAAAATGGGGCTTCTCCATGTTTTCTCTTTTTTTAATTAAATAATAGCTGTATACATTAATGCAAACATGGGGTACAGTGTAGTGTTTTCATATACAATTTGAAATATTTTCATCAAACTGGTTAACATAGACTTTGTGTCATTTACTTAGTTATTGTGTTAAAACATTTATACTCTAGTTCTAGAAAAGTTCACTTGTACCTTTGTTAGACAGACCATATAGGTGATCTTTGGAAAATGTTCTTCTTAGCAAAGTATCACAAGAATGGAAGAAAAAGTATCCAGTGTACACAGCCCTATTATGAAACTAATTTATAGTTGTCATTTAAAATTCTTAAACTTTTATTTTCTCACATTTGGTTAATATACTTACAAAGCATTAATGTATCAAGTGCATAATTAATAAATACCACATTCTGTAAAATATATAATCTAACCAATTATTTCTTATTACATAACTAATTATATGTGCCTGATAAAAACAGAACTCTCTGTCAAATCTAAATGAAGACAATGAAGATTGTTACATGACCAAAAACTAAGGGAAACTTAAGAAACAGTGACTAGAAACTTCCATCTTTTGGCAATACCATGATCTCTATGTCTTTATTATGTCTTTGTTGCTTAAAAACAATGGTAATATTTGGGCTTTATTTATTTATATTTTTTAGTTGACTAAAAAAATTCTATTCCTAAAAAAGTTTTGCCTGGATTATTTCAGCCTATTTTGCCCCCTAATTCTCTTTACAACTTCTATCCCTCCACAATAGCAGTATTGATCTTCCAAGGCATGTGATGTATGTTTCCTGGAATGTTTCCCTCAGGCGAAATAGAATAGCAAAAAACTTATCAAGTAAAAGAGACGAAAGCTGTGACCTTGCAACTCTTTTGTTCTCTAGGTAATGCCTTGATTTTTGTCTCCATTATGATTGCTAATACTTGTAACTACAAATTTAACAATATGCTTTTTAATTCATAATGTATATTTTTAAGGAGAAACAAATTAAGACACAATAAATTCAAGCTTTAATAAGATAGCATAAAATATTCAACTATGATTTGTGAAGTCAATACATTAAAAATATGAAAACTAAACAAACATGATGTCTAATAAAGAGCCTTCATTCCAGTAAGTAAGCAGGAGTTGCTGTCTGAGTGCTGGTAAGGGAATCCCATGCAGTCTCTCTGGAATATGATCTTTTAAAGGGACGAACAAAATTTTAAGTCTTAGTGCTTAGAAGTAAGCTAAAGGTAAATCCTTCCCACGCTTATCCATATTTTTAACATTTTAAAATGCTTGTAATGGCAAATAAAAGTTCTTATAGCCATAACCAATACAAATAATCCACTACAATATATATTTAAATGAAAAGTCTGAAATAAAATAATACCATTTGGCATCTCATTTAATATAATATTTTATCAAAAACTTTAGGAAAAAATTCCTTTGTGTGAAATCCAATTATATAAATAGGAATTACATAAATAGGAGATGTAGTGGGATATTGAAAAATTAGGGTCACTTATTATATTTGTAATAAGACTCCAAAATTCCTCAATATGAAGCTAGGACCCATCACCCAAAATGAATGGAGAAAATTCAATTGTTGGTTTAAAGTAGAAAGTGCTTATCTGATTTTATATGAATTTAGTTTATATGTATAGCTTTATTAATTCAGCTAACAGTTGTGACAACTGAATCTCTATCAATATTAAACAGTAGATAAGAAGATACATTTTCCATTATTGAGACTAAATTTGTATTTGTATATTTAGGCTCTTTTGATCTAATCCAAGTACAGCTTTTCTTTTTTCATTTTTTTTTTTTTCTCTTTTTGGTATAGTAGTTCAGAGAATAAGGAGTTGTACCAAATGGGCTCAAATCCTGGTTTTATCTTGGATAGGTTACGTAGCCTCTCTGTGTTACAGGGAGAATACAAACCCTCTTCTTTCACAAGGTTGTTGTGAGGGTTGAATGAGTTATTATCTGCAGAGTTTCACAATAGCATTTGGCACATAGGGTGTCCTCAGTGGATGTCTGCCTCATTATTATCTTTAGAGAATTGGGCAGAGAAAAGAGGTAGAAATTAGTTCTTAAACAGCACATAGGACAGCTTAAAATGGTATCAAATTTAATTTTTAAAGAACCTAAAGAATCTTCAATTTTCCAAGTCCAGTGGTGTTAGATCCTACCCAGCAAAGAGAAAGAGATGTATAACATCATCTGTGCTCACACTGCTCCATATCTGCCAGCCGTCTTGCTCCTGAGCTGACTCTCTTCAATCACTGGCAACTTCATCTTACTTAGAGGTTACGTGTGTCTATTTCATTTTTGTGTGTTAGGAGAGAGTAAGAATTTAGAAATAATATTTGATGATCATTGGTACAATTATCATGTCAGCTCTTCTTCAAAGAATACTGGAAAGGAGCTAAGGACAGATGTATTCACAAAGCACTGAAATACAAATTCTTGTAAGATAAAGAACTTTGTCATAGAAAACATTAACATGTCTGGGAAGAACTGTGTCGGAAGTAATTTTGCTAAAATGTGTTATGTCTTCATTCATGCAGCTAATAGTCACTGAAAACCTTCCAAGTGCTAGGTGGAAGATAAAAATGCATACAGCAATGAATTACTTTCAAGGAGCCTACAGACTAGGAAAGAAGATGTATATTCTGAAATATGATTATTTCTGCCACATTCACAGTGATGCTTCTATAAGTAGGCATTTGGCTCAGAATGACTTCTAAGAATGGATAAGGAAGGAATCTACTTACTTTAGAAATCTCTGAAAAGCTAAGGCAGAAATAGTTTATTTCCTCGAGT